AAGCAATATGAGATTATGAGTGATCCTTTTTTTCAAGGTACAGTTTAAATTATCCTAAACTGTAGGATTTTCAGAGTTAGTTTCCTGTGGCCAAAAGAGAAGCATTCGTAATCACAAGCCATTTTAAGCTAGTGATGTTATGATGAAACACCACTAGCTAGTGATGAAATTAATTTTTTGCCATATCTTCCCTTACCCTAATGGATTGGAAACTAAATACAGTATTTAAAACTTTAAATTCTGACATCCCAACTACTTAGAGACTTTTAGCAGCTTGATGGGAAATTTTTAGCACTGCATAACTGATCGTTTTGTTGTGTTCATGCTTGTTGATAAAATGATATAAAACAGAGATCAATTTAGGTGATTAGATTCTCTAGAGAAAAATATATCTCTAACCAGGGCTTGGAGACAGAATCCTTGAGCTGGATATAAAAATAAAGGATCAGGTTTGAAAAGTTAGATACCAGAAAGGGAAGATAACCTGGTTTTACTTAGAACATTTTGCTTGCAGCTATAAAACAGAGCATTTTACATTTGCATAGTAAGATTTTCAATAAAGAATTTTGAAATCAGTCAGTGCAAAGGGCTAGGCTGTCTTCTCTTAAATGTATTTATACCTCTCAAATCTGAATCCAAAGGCCTGATTATTGTATATTTTAATGTATATTTCAACGCATATTTAAAAATTAAAAAAATACGTAAAACAACACTTAAAGATGGTCCACAGTTTTAACAGAAACTAACAGTTCTATTTGAAAAGCTGTTCCTTTCGCTGTGGCAAGCTGCACAAACATGTTTCTTTCTCAGAAATCTCTGATGCAAAAATGTACTTCTATCTCTCCCAGATATCTGCATGGCCGAGGGCAGGGAGTAACCCAACCCTCACTGTGCCCTTGGCTTATGGCAGCATCCGCTACGGAATTAGATCACCTGCCATGTGCTTGAAGGACAGACTGCAGAGACCCATCCGTGTCACGGACCTACGGAAACACAAAACGCTCCATAAAGACACGAATCACGGGTGATAGAAAGTATCTCCCATCTCCTTTGCAACTTTTCTGACTTGGTAGCAGAAAATTAGTTGCTCAAAATCATTCCAAAAAGTAGCAGGAAGTTCCTTCTCTTGGAGGGACTCCCGAGAAATGACTGTTCAACATGCTCCCCAATGGCAGAATCTCACCCTTATTCTCACAAGAGCAGTTGCCTTCTTGGTAATCTTCACCACAAGACTGTGAGGGGGCTGATCTTTAGGCCATCTTTATGCGGAACACAGTGTACAGAAAACAAAAGAAAACAACCATAACAAAAAAAAGGAAGGGACTTGGAACAGTGAAGGAATCCAGGGCTCTTCCGCCAGTGATTTTTCTTTTCTGTTCAAATAGGAACTGCCTTATTTTTTTTTTTCTTAATGTCAATTCAGCAAAAAGAGTGGAACAGGGAAAGAAGAACACAGATATATTTTCTTTACAGAACTACAGAATAAGAGAAACATTCAGAATACTTTCATTTTTCTCTAATTTAGCCACATTGACCTTCCATAAATCTAGCATTCCCGTTAAGCTGACACAGAGCAATGAAGGTTTGCCTCTGTTCAGAGGCAACATTATTGGTAATGCTCTTGAGTTTTTTTTAAAAAGATCAGACTAAACTATTACCTGATTTTTGATTCAAGACACTACAGCAAATTTTGTGTGCAGGGAACACTCATTTAGTCTTTTTTTATGTAATAATTTTGACTTTGATGAAAACATTTTACAATAAAAAGAGTTTCTATTTAAACTATTTTGGTAGAAAATCTTTAAATAAAAATGAAGCATTCCTCCCTCATGTTTTGGTACCATGGAACTAAAAAAGCTTCTTTGCAATTCTATGCTTTTATCAATAGGTGGCAATAGTAATAAATAAAAACACCTGTTTTTCATAAAAATTATATTAAATAATTATTAAACACTTTCTTCTGCAAGCTTTTCTTTCTGGAAAGAATATATTGATCACATTCAAAATACTTTTTAAAGATGATACTACTCTAAATGTAAGACTACTACTCCTTACTTCCTTCAAACTAATAACTAGACTGCTACCTATCTTCAAAATTCCTATATTGATCTGGGTCATGGAAGGAAACATTGGTCTTACATGGTATTTAATGGAACTTTAAGGCTGAGGGTGATTCTACAATCTTACATGAAGCAAAGAATAGCAAAAAACAAAACTTCATCTCCATCCCCATCCACACTAACACAGGTAGTTTGAAGAACCTGATTTTGGAATTTTGAGAAATAAAGTGTGCTTTAATTTCAAAAAATCTGTATTATTGTTTCTGTCTCTCCTGGAAATAAATTAAGCTCTCACTGTATTAATAAATATGCTGCTACTACAATTAAATATTTTAGACTTCTGCTCACATACTTTCTACAAAAATTTGCATTCATATCAGTAAAACAAAACAAAACAAAACAAACAAAAACAAACAAAAAAAAAACCAACCAACAAAAAACCCTCAGTAGCAACAGTTTGGATATTCACTGATTTTAAGATTCCCTGCCTAGGTTAAAGAGCCGAGTATTCCCTCCTCGCAGTAAACTTTAGCGTGGCTTTTAATATGAACTTTGTTATGACCAATGTTCTCCTACAAAATAGTAATAACAATTTACAAAGGAAATAGAAGAAACTGCAGATTTTGTAGTAAGTTTTCCTTCCCCCCCCACCCCCACCCCATGGACAGGTCTAACTGAGGTTTACATCTTATAATCATGTTCCTGTTTCTGCCTATCTGAAATTCTTTTAGTCATGTGGAAAAAACAGCATTCACGTGCAGCTTTCTAAGCCAAAGTCCTTTTGGGAAGACAATGATTATACACCAAATGTTTCTATCCCAGCTTGCTTTTATTTTTTTCTGCAATCCAACCGCATCAAATATGAAAGAGAAATATTTATTTCACAAATTAAAATGGTATGTTTTGGACAAATTTGAACTTTGATTTAGGTATTTGAAAATTCTACATTAGTCTCCCAAATCTGGTTAATGAAACTTCAAATTCTCGTGATTTGCCACTGCTCCAGTTTCTGCTTTCAAATACGTTTTGCTTAAAATAGAATGTCAACCTTCTACTAAAACCTAAAAAGGCTAACTGAGTGTCGGGTACTTTGTTTCAAGTTTCCTGATGGAAAAGGAAAGACCGACAAGACACACTTGTGATCTCCAGCTGAAAGAGGACACTTGTTTGCACTTACTTGTTTGTCTATGAATGGCTGTGGCTTACTAATAGTTTCGTGCAAAACAGTTCACACAGATGCGGGAGAAAAAAATAAAACCTTCAAATCATGCATGGGGGATGGAAAAAAATTATTCAAAGCGAGTTCTTTCAGAATGCTTTCTATTGAAAAAATCTCCCTCGCACAGTTTCTCAAGATTACAGACAGGAAAGTAAAAAGCTCCTGGTGTGCTTAGGTATGTTAATACATGGGGCTCGGATTTTTCATGGCTTTATGCATTTACAAATACCATGAAAAACTGTTGCTCAATATTAAAAATCTCTGAAGACCTAATCTTTATTTTAGACAAAGTATGGGATGCAAGTAGTTTCAAATGCTTGATACTAAACACAGTCTCTAGGGAACTGGGAGAAGGAACATCCGCCTCTCTCTTACAGTTACTGCAAAAATACAAAGCTTGTTGCTACAGTGCTAGAGTCAGTTATAAGTGACCCATCCTCAAGCAAATACTAAAGTACAAATACTAGCAAGGAAAGAAGAAATCCTGCTAACCCTATGCATTTTCACAGATGACGATAAAATGCAGTTCAAGAGGAACCTTTTTCTAACTCCTTTTGACAAAGGCTCATTCTGGAAATAACATGTCAATTTTCTTCATTGCACAATGAAAACTCTTAATCACATCTTCAAGAATTTGCAGACACCCAGGTTGACACTTGTGTGTAAATGCTATTTGATGGTTTAGTAGGAGGAGTGTGAAGTCATAATTAAGATTTCTTGTTACGTTACAGAAGAGTTCAATGAGCTGTGTATAATGTTATTCACATAAATTGGAGTCAGAAGGGTGCTTTTCTTTTGACACCGTAAAATCTACTATTATCAGTGGAAATATTCTGTTTGAAGAAACAGATTAGAGGTTTCTCAATTACCTGGCATATGCTTGCTCTTTCAGAATTGTGTTAACCGGTCTTACTCCTTTTTAAATCATGTTTTGACCATGAGAAATATAGGATGGTCGTTGTTTCATGTGTTAACTACCTGATTTTCCCAGTGATAATAGAGTTTGGTTTCCTGCATAAGAGGCCATGAAGCTTCTCTGAATTAATTCCTTCTTCAAGGTCAGTAACTATTGGGAACTAAAGCAAAATGTTCAGAAAAGCATCTGAGTGAGAAATATCTGACAATTTACCAATTAAGTACTCTAATTGTTAAAAGTATATCTTTTGTATCTAATATGTATTTGACAAACTTCACTTTTTAGTCTTTAGATACTGATGTATTCTTAGTTCTTAGACTGCAGACCTTAGCTTTCCAATTCTCTGATCAAATCACAGTTCTGACAATCTAGACAAACTGCGTATTTCAAATCACTTGTTATATGAAAGGATTTTCAAACCTGAAGCTTGTGTGGAACCATTACATGCCCTTCCTTGTATATCCTTTTGCTTAGCATAATTTATTCTGATTTATGACAACACAGAATGACTTTCTACAGAAAACAGCTTCTCTATTAATGGATGTTATTTCTATTAAATCAGACTCCAAAGCTCACAGGGAGATGGATAGCCAACTAATAAAGGATGAAATTCTATGGAGAGGAGGCATGAAGGGTCCTCCGTATGAAGGCATTCAACCTTATACAGGTAACAGCATATTTCTCTCCTCCACTCCCCTCAAAAAATGTGTTTCTTTGTGAATTTTTGCTAACCTAAAAAAGAAAGTGAAGAACTGATACACAGCTTCTAAAAATGAAGAAAATAAATAAACTGCAACTATTTTACCTGCTACCACTGGAGATTTTCTGTCATCCAGAAGCTGAATAGCAGTACTAGCTGTCACAACGTTGCTTTTGTTTGCTGTTTCTGCACAGTGTATTAAGGGAAAAGATATTCAAGTTGAAATAATATATTACAGAATGAAGAAACTCAGCTGTATTTTTCAAATTGAAACACAATCAAATGCCCACATGAATTTAGTATGCTAATACGACAACCAACATCATAGATCATGCATGCACAGGACAAAAAGGTGCCAGTCATTGGCATTTCAAACTTCCTGAGTATCCCAAAAAGCACATAGCACTGACATAAACAATCAAATCTTGGCTTTTCTACTAAAAATGGTAACAACGGTTACAATGAGTAGGGCTTCTCAGTGATGCGGACACTTGATCTGTTGGACCTTTCTTGTTTAACACTCTAGGCTTTAAGTTCAACCTATACAAACATTCAATGAAAACTGCTGTACCATGGCTTGGGGTTTTACTTGGAGCCCTGTAGAAAAAGCACCTGGTCACAGGACTAGTGAATTAGCTGAAAATTTCAATGCATATTTTAGAATAACATTTCAGATGGGGTTCAGAGTCCACTCCTGTCCTGACTTATCTGGAATCTTTTCAGTATTATATATGACTTAGTGTTTAAAGAATGACAAAATTATAGACCTGTACTAAAGGGGATTGAATAGACAAAGCTCCCAGGTATTTGCTCAGCAGCTCTTCTGTACCAGAGTGGAAAATGATCAGCGTTAAAAATGTTCTCCTTGTCTGGAGCTGTCAGAAAATCTCTTGAAAAAGAAGAGAGAAAGAAAATACTTATTGTTTGGTGCATACCACACAGTACCTGCTAGAGGGAAAGACATGGCAAACCAAAATTCAATCTTTGGGGAAATAAAATGACTTTGGATGTTTTTTTCTATATCATTTGTACAACAAAAGCACCAAAAAGCACCCAGTAATTATTTGTGACACACTTGCAATTGCTTTTATGTGAGGGATGGAAAAGTAGTAAAAAAAATAGTTCCTCTAATTACATATTATGAAGTACATTTGTACTGATTTGTGAAGTAAAAATGCTTAGTCTAATAAATCTTTTTCTTTCTTGCAATGTGGAAAAGATATTGGAGAAATTGTAGTCTGCTGTCACTGTCTTCCATTCTTAAGCAAGAAAAATGTCATTAAAAGTCTACTTTCCAAATAATACATATAGGAAGGCAGTAGACAACATACTTCAACCTCCAATACTTTCAGAAAAAGTTGAAAGGAGAAGATTAATGTGAAGGAGAAAAATATGGTCCCATGCTATTGCTCTGGTTTACTGTTCCATTTTAACAAATTTTAATTCTATTGATCACATTTTTTAAGCTGCTTGTAATTACCACAATATTTTGTGGTCAGATAAAGCACCATGAACTTGTACATTGCATAAACTAAATTTATCATAAAAATCCAGAGCAGTTCTTTTTTCTTTTTTTCTTTTTCTTTTCCTTTCCTTTTTTTTTTTTTTTTCTTTTTCAAAGGGACCTTATTTTATATCTCTCCATTTTAAGAAACATGTACCTGCACTACATTGTATCTTCTCCAAAACACAAATGGGGATCTTTGGAAAGGTGATAGATAGCTGGTGACCATATTTTCCATCCAACCCTCTTCGGTTATTTGGTATTATTTCAACAAATGATTCCATATCAATAATGAAGAAAATCACTTAAAAAGTCTCAGGTATTTGTTTTTAGACAGGATATAAAAAGAAATTCCCACAGCCCCTGCAGATGCAGTACCTCAAGAACTTTACCTAGGAGAATAAATGTGGGGCTAACTCCAGCTCGGTGAGGGAAAAGTAATTGTGTATAACAGCTCACTCTTACGTGAGCTGCAGCTGAAGAAAGAAGCTAAAGGATCTTATACTTGTTCTATGTATTTCACTGCAGAAGTGTAAAATCTACAGAGAGGAGGATGAGCTTTCTAGAAGCAATATTTTCCCCTTGTTTTCACAAAAGCTTGCCAAGCACAGCTTTGTTACTTACTGATTAGTAAGCTGTTCTGGCCCCACAAACAGGTTGATACGAGATAGGCCAGTCCGGGTTCCAAGGAAGGCAACTTCCACTCCCTTGTCAGAGTTTCTGAAATGGAGCAGAACACGAGCAAAGATAATGTGTACAGACAGTAAACAGATAAAGCTATTTTACTGCTCATAGAAAGTACCAGTATACACGTTTTTGAGAAAGACTATCTTTGAGCAAGCACAGTTCTCTTATTCTTTCCATTTTTGTAAAGTTGGTTTTTAAGTTAGACTCATGCTGGCTTTGGCAAACAAGCAGTGTAAGTGCTAGTTAGACTGAAAGATACTCAAAAGCCAAAATAGTAAATTTGGTAGAATTCCTGTGACAAAACCACACCAAAGCCATGGCATAAAAAGGTATGGTGTAGCCACATGTACTTCTGTGGTGCATCTGCACTTGGATTCACAGGTGGAAAATTCATTGGTCCAAATGCACAGGAGCAAAACCAAGCTAGAATTAAGTTAATTAAGCTTTAGTCTCAGGAGTCTGTTACAAAAATGCAGCAGGTATCCCAAGTTGTGCTGTTCCCAGTAGTAAGAGAGGTGCTTTAAGACTAGTCTATGATAAACTATCATACGTTCACAAAACCAGGGACCACAGTCTTAGCCCTCTTGTAGTCCTCTGCAAGTGGCCTCTCCCACTACTTGAAATCAGGATATGAAGGAGATCCAGAAGTCTCCCACTGATATCTCCACAGCTGTCTTCCTTCTATTTACTGGCATTCATATTGTTCTGTCGTTAGGATTACAGGAAACCTTATACTTCTATATAGATTCATCAATGCCTAAAATACATTAACATGCAATAATTTCTCATCTCCTTAGAGGAGACTGAGTAATCCTTAGTTTGATTAATCAGATTTTACCACATTTGATTGCACTTATTCAGCATGAATATGTGCTTTTACAACCATTTATTTTTGTTCTTTTTAATTTTTTTAAACGGTTCCAATTTAACAAAAAATCGGGAAAATCTCCAGAACTGCCTTTCAACAATAGCATCACACAGAAACTCTACTAATCAGATAACTGCTTTCTCTAACACGTATAACATTTGATTAATGTTCCTTTATGTTTTAGTACATCAGAACATAAATGAATTAGGTAAAAATTAGCGAGACTGTAAGGACCAGTTAATATCTTATTATCCTGTAATAGAAACCTAGATCCTAGTTAGCACTAGAAAACTACAGAAGGATTAAAATTATATTTTACCAATGCAACTTCTTCTGCATGTAACTTTTTCTTGGACAAATTACACATGCTATGAACTATTTTTGTGTGAATTATGCAATGAATTCCTCAGTTATTCTGAAGAGTTTATTAGCAGTACTCAGAACTGTAGGTTTTGGTTCATGCACAGTTGCATTAGCTATGCACTGGCTACCCTTACAACTAATCAGTAGTGTGCACTGCAACATCAACACTCAATACTGAAGTCAAAATTGACAGCATGAAGGATGAGTTGGCTAATAGCTGCTTTTCATGCATTTTAATACAGTTAGAAATTAAAATGAGCAAATGAACTGAGAAGTATATCAAGTATATCTTGATGATCTGACAAAATATTAGAATTTTCTAGGTATTTCTTCAGTTCTCAAACATAACTATTAGAAATTCATTCATAGTTACCATGAATGAGACAAAGCTTACTTACTCTGATTTATTTAATGCTAGACTGGTCCAATAAGCTTCAATTGGTGCACTCACCACTGCATCAAACAGAACTTCCTGGATCAATTCTTTATCACCTATTGTAATATATTGATATCAATATACGTATATATACACACAAAAAATATTAGCTGAATAAATATGCATTATTTTTACTGTATGAATTTTATCTCTTATGTGCACTCACAATTTCTAGAGAAAGGAACAATTACTGTGCAATATTTATAGCATTGCATTACTATACCTATCATTTGATTGCACTAGCAAAAAAAAATTAGATTAAAAAGTTAAGAGATGATTTTCCATTTCACGGAAACCTGAACAAAACCATGTTGATATAGGCATTATCTCAAGCTCAAGCTTGCACATGATACAAGATTAAAGCAATCAGGTCTACTAATAATCCTAAAAGAAGTCAGTATTTCTATTAACCTCTAAAACAAAAAAGGCCCTAATCCAAGCACACTTTCTTATTCTTCACTATTTAGAATTGCTACTGTTATATATATTCTCCCTAAAACAATCACAAAATATCCAGCATATATATTACGTAAGGGCCTGATCCAAGGCTTGATTCAGACCAATCCTGTTTAACTTATGGAACTGACAGAACTATAACATTACATAGTGTAGCTACAGTATCTGAACAGAAACTTAAATGTTTGATTTAGGTATATTTTTACAGTAAAATTTAGAATTTTTCAAACATCAGTTATCATTTAATAACCTGAAAAAAAATCTCAAAATCAAAAGAAAATTCGAAGTGATATAAGTCAAAAAGCCTATCTCACTCTAGCAGTGGTAAAATTAAGCATTTAATTTTGGAAGGTTCAATATAAGGACTATCTAGCTGGGAGTAATCTTTTCCATCTATATCTCGAGAAATACATTTAACAAGATACTTGCATTGCAGCAATGGCTCTTTTCCTGTAAGGTAGCGTTTAATTGCTTCTAACTGAGTCATCTGCCGGTGTTCAGGATGTAAGTCAGTGTTGCAATAGGACCTGTGAGCACAGTGCCAAAGCATTAAAATGTTAATATTTATAAGCACGATCTCCCTTTGTCTTTGAATGGAAAGAGTCAGGCTCAGCAAGCACAAACAATATGAAACCAAGAAGGGTAACAGACACCAATTTCATGCTTTGTTTAAGGCTTACCATTCATCTGCTAAAGATACATCAGGGTGTTCTAAATCATGTAAACCTGCAACAGCAAAAATAATAGGTTATTTGGGGAGCAGTCTGGGAAACAGATGGTTATTTACATATACTTCATAACATAAACTATTCTGTCTTGGAAAGTGTGTTGTTACCACAATATAATAAATAACAGAGCAAACTATGTTCAAATGCGTTTTAAGGAAAGCCAACTAAATCAAATTTAAAAAGGAAAAGGTAGAAGAAACACTTTTTTTATGCTGGTATGTTTAACTCATGTAAATGGTTCGTGATACTTCTGGAGTTTTGAAGAAATCTTAAGCAAAGAGAAATATTCAAAGAGCCTTATTTGTATTCTCTTGCTTTAGCTGGCTAATAAAGTTCTTATGCTAAGACGCAGACTTCTCATTTGACGAGAATTTGTCTCTCTCTCTTTTAAAAATTACTTCTTTAAGAAGTATAGCTCCCCCCAAAACCTAAGCGCACAGTCCATGAACACAGCCAGCAATTTACAGGATTGTTCAGAATAGGTTTATTGTACTAACAGGTCATGCAGATGCTTGTAAATAAGAACTGTACCATTAGTTATATAGCACAGTTAAAATGTACTTTGGCAATTTTAAAAACTCTTAAAACACGTATCAATAGACAATAAGCAAGCAGGGTTCAGAATGCAGACCCTGGCTCTAACCTCAGCGTACACAGAACACAATAGCAGAGCGCTGGTGGTGAAGGACACCAGGAGAGGCACAAGCAGGGCTGCTATCACAGTGCTTGGCGCTAGGTAGGACAGTGAAGGGGCAGCGACAGATCAGAGAAGAGTGGGAGGAAAGGAACAGTCGGTGATGGCTGTAGTGACACTTATGGTGACACTCAAATATCAGGAGGAAATATCAGGCAGACTGACTAAGATGTGTGGCTGGACTGAGAAGAACAGGGCAGAGGTATGTCGGGATCGGCTTGGAGAAAGAGCGACTCCACATCTCCTGCTGTGCTCACTCGCTCTATCCAGACACGTATTTGTTGTGCAAATGACCCATAAAACCTACAGCATTTCTTTTTCCCTCTCCCCTTGGAAGTGAAATGTATTCTTGTCCTAAACTTATAGCTGAGGAATAAAGACCTGCAGAAATCAATTAATTTAACATCACTGATAAACCAAGAAGCAGTGTCTTCAAAGTTCTCAGCTTTGCAGCACAGAGCTCCTACATGGGCCACGTCCACCAAGCACACACTGCAAGCCTGGCAGTTACCAAGCTGCTCCTCTGGATCCTTCTGCCTGGCCATGTCTCTGACCTGCCTCTTCTGGATCCTTTGCGTTTAAAATTATTAAACAACTTTTATCTATTAAACACTTATATTATTACTGGACTTATCAAAAACTAAAACTGTGAGAAGGGTTTTTTACCCTCCTTACTTTATACTATTATTATAAAAATTCACAATGTAAATGACTCTAGACCATGGTCTAAGTAGCTATAGCTCTGAAAGAGCCTGCGGAAAAAAAAAAAAAAAACCGATAACTACTACAAAGAGGTCAGTGTTTCCTTCATTCAGAAAACCCACAGATTATTAACTCTGGATTCTCATCACTTGAACATGGAGGGAAGATGAGGGGAAATGATACCCCTGTATAAAGGTTCACAGACAGTAGGATTATGCTTAATATTAATGAGGAAAAAAAGCCCATGAAGCAGAAGATCTAGAAAAGATCTACTTCCCCATGGAACCTGCAAAAAAACATACAAGCTTTAGGTCCACAAAAGTCACCACCACCATTGGGTAAGTCACATGAGAAGGCAGAGAACACCTTACCTTCCTCTACAGTTACATTGCCTCTGAAGAAATATTTTCCATGTCCTCTAGAGAGAGCAACACCTAAACTGTGCAGAGAAATAAAGTAGACCTTGAAATTTGTGCTACAAACAGTAACAGACATTCAGAGCTATTTTCATCGCTAACATTTCCAGCTAGTGCACCATGATTAACTCTAGAACTGCTTCTAAAGTCTCACTCATCATATTTATTATTCAACTTGCTGCTTCAATGCTCTCTCAGTTCTGATGTGCCTGCAACAAATGTAGGTGTTGGTGTGTGTGCTGAGGGGAAACCAATATTCTCAGGCAAACTAACCGGCAAGCCCTCCTCATCTCACGGCTGTTCACCCAGCACGAGATCCCTTCAGCTGCGCCTTGAACATGCCCATGACCTTACAGCGGAGGAGATGCTTCTTTCTAAATCAGACTTGTCTTCTGAAAAACTCTACAAATGTGGGAATCAATGGAGCTACTGAGAGAAAAAGAATTTCATATGTGACAATAGCATCATGACTCCACTTCAGAGTAATTTTTCTGTTGTTCATACTTCCAAACAATTTAGCTTCAGTGTTAATTTCAGCAGACTTCAATGCCCGCTGTTTCTCAATCTATACTCCTGCACCAGCACAACTAGGTACAGACCATGCTGGAAAAGGCAGGATGAATTTCCTGCAATATTTACTTCTATCCTAAACAACTTAAACTATATACATATATGTCATCCCATGTCTGTTTACTAAATAGGACAAGAAAGATACTGCCACAAAACACTAAATTTTGTTACCCAAGTGTGAATGTTAACAAGAATAAACACATACATCAGAGATCAGAGAAACGTGCCTATATTTTCTCTATCTGGAAATGTGGTTCAAGTTCTGTGAAATGGTTCCATTGAAGAAAATTTCAGTTGAGTATTGCAGCTATCAGCCTCCTGCTTTAAGCATAAGGTACAGTTAATATTCTTTAATAATGGAATATTTCTAATTCAAATATGAACATTTTAAAGGGATTGCTTTTCAATTTTTATGCTAAGATACATGCCAGAATAACATGGCTGACTTACTCAGTTTTAGTTATACAAATACACTGAAGGTAGTTCAGAGAAACAAAATATCCAAACCTCAAATTGGAAGTGAAATACTATCTCATTTTATATTACATTTTTGTTGTGGAAAAAAAAAATCAAAATGGGGCTCAATATGTAGGTACTTAAATGGATTATAGTATTTATAGCTCTCCAAGTACACGCGAAAGCCTTTTGCTCAATGTAAACCTCAACTGAATATTTTTTTAATGAAACGTAAGCCATGACAAACACAGCGAGTTTGCCTGTGTGAGCTTGCACAAACTTTCCATCCCTGGAAAAGCTGAAAGGAATGCTCATAAGCTCCTTTTTCTTGCTATTTTCAGCATTGTCCAGGGATATTTAATTGTGAGCTTTTGCTGATGAGCTTTTAATGAGTTCACAAGCTCTATACAAATGGAAGTCCAATGAGTCTGATGAAATGTCCATTTATTATGGTCAGCTCTACCTGAATGGAGTACCCTTGATGTCTGTATAATAGTAGTCATTTGTCATCACCAATACCCGTTTCTAGATTCAGAACAAGAAAGTCAGAAGAGGAGGGGAGGAAAAAAAGTTTGTTATAAGAAATGCATAAAGGATCAAGTGATTAATCAATAATAAAATTACAAGCAATGTGTAACTTCAGTGCATGAAAAAGACAAATAATATAATGAATTATGGTAAACGATCTTAAAAGTCAAATTAAAAAAAAAAAGTTTGCTGTAAAGATAGTGGGAAGCATATTTTATATGTTGTACCCCTTTGTCCACTGTCTTCTTCACCTCCATGGAGAATTTTCCTGTTTTCCGATTCACCATCGCATTTCGGAGCTGAAATAAAGAAAACACATGCCAGTCTCTTTATCTGCATTTCCTAGGATCCTTTCATCCCCGAGGTAGCTAGTAATTCATTTTCTGTGGTTTTTGCTACATGCTAAGCAGCCCCCGACAGGATTGCCCACAGAGTCCGCGTGGCCCGAGGCCTGTCCAGCAGCACCGCAAGCCCTGGGGCGCCAGGGCCCTCCCGAGCAGAGGGGCTCTGGGCTCGCAGCGATCAACAACGAGAGCAGCTTCGAGAAACCCTCGGCTTTACATCCTCAGCTTTCCTGTCTATCCAGTCACCACTTCAGCAAAGAGATGAGAAGAGCTCCTGCTTAGCTCTTATACCAGCAATATATGAAAGAAATGCGGGTATGCTTAGATTTAGCAATGAAGAAAGCAAATTCCTTTGTTTATATTCTTAATTAATGTTAGCAGTGCAGAAAATTTAGTGAGGGTTGTTTCGGGACACCTTCAATCACAAAGTGAAACTGCTACACTTGTGGCATCTGGGGAGAGCAAGCTCCATCTGTGAATCTTGCAGAGACATAGTTCTCATTACAACAGAAACATTCCACTATGGCCAATTAATTCACACCCCTTCTTCAGGGATATTCAAAACGCAGAACAACACTGACAAAACAAGCACTTTTACATCTCTTCTATCGCTTATCTACCTGAATGCAGTGCAGGACATCGTGTTTCTGCAGTATAAACATGCCCTGCTTTTCAGTGCACCTCACGCCAGATTGGGTAATTCAGTCAGATGTTACAAAAATTTGGGAAGATAGTCACATCAACAAACTCTGCAGGCTTTCTGAGTTAGCTAGGACAGAGAAGGGAATGCCAAAACTTGTCAGTGAAATATCTGGTTTTGTTTTCATGAAGTTGAGCGTGGCTGACCTATCAAAAACTGCAAAGCTTGCAGCTCTTTAAATTTAATTCTGGGGCATCTAGATTTGAATTAAAAGTCTTACTCTTCTGTCAGTGAGTGTAAAAGAATAATTCTTAGCTGGAGGCAAGTATAAAATAAAGCATATATTTTACTGTAGATTTTTTTTAACAATACATAACAGGCAATTCTGGAAATATTTTCCCATTTTAAGTTTTGTGGTTTTGGACTTGGAGAGCTGGTCTTAATTAACCATCTACTTTCTAACATTTACAGAACAGTTCCATTTATCTTTAACATGGTTTTCATTTTTCTCCTATTGGTGCCTGGAGTTGTCTAAGACTCATTCCTCCCACAAGCCTCAGGCAAGTCATAGATTTACTAAAAGGGCCTCCAAACTCTCAGTAGTGTTTAAGATCAAGTCTGCATGTGGGATTTGCAGTTTTACTTTTCTTCATTCTTTTGCTTGCTGTGATTACATTTCTTGGCTTTATAATCTGGTTTCTCAGCTCTTCTGCAGTTTCATCTCCCTTCTCAAATGTATAAAATAAGTACTGCCTCATTTGGCTCCAAGCCCCAAAACATTCATTCATGGTCTTTTTTTTTTTTGTCTTTTTATTTAAGGAAAAAAAAAAACTTCATTCAGCTAGAAATTATAGGAACAGAATTTTAAGAAGTGACTTAATGAGAAAAAGGTTTCTGTCCAAACTGAAACTCCTTGTGTTTTGTATTGCATATTCCCAAGTTTTGCTGGAAGTCACTTTTTTTTTTCCTGCTAGTATAATAAGACGAAGCCAGGGTTTCTATTTCTAATAAAACGCAGGGTGATAAAGATAGCAGCTACTGTAAGTTGGGAAATGAATTGGTGAATATATATTTCATGGTACAAAAAAAAAAAAAAAGAAAGAAAAAAGAAAAAAAAAGAAAGAATCTAACCTCAATTCTGCCATCTTTTCCTTGTTGGGTCATTAGAGAAAATTATTTAAATTATTTCTTCTTCACTTCAGTGATTTGCATTATTATTTTTTCAACTAAATATCTTCCAACGTATTGCCAGGAGCCCACTTCCAGCTACAGTATGAGACCATTCTATAGTCTTGGAATACTATAAGCTGTTAAACTAATGTGGTAAAAAGTGAGAAACTCTCTTAAATCAGCTTTAACAGAAGTGTTTCACAGAAGAAAAATATACCATCAGTTCTCTATGTTGATAAAAGCAGCTATACGAATACACTAATTCTTTTTCTCCACACTTGAACAAGCAAAACTCCTACCCAAGCTGGAAGGAAACAAGGGCATAAAATACGAGGCCTTGGGTGAAACAAGAGTGGCAGGCAGCTTTCAAGTCAACAAGTGTTTCTGCAGTTTTTAAAATCTCCAACAAAATAGCTACCATTTTCACTCAAAATTAACAGTAGCAAGGAAGTGCCTACTGCAAAAGATCTACAAAAAAACCCACATACTTTTTGAATACTCATTTGAATCCTTGTATCAGAAAAGTTGAGTAAACTTTCGGCAAATTCCATTACAGTGACCTCCAGAAAACCTCCAAATCAAGAAATTCCATTTTCTCTCCAGTTCTGTTGCAAATAATGACTTTGTAGAAATGAGATATTCACAAATATCTCATTCGCAAATTCACAAATATCCCATTTCTCATAAACAGCAAAAAAAAAAAAAAAAATTGCAGTGGTGCCAAGCTCATTTGAAAAACACCCATAAAAATACTGCTTAGCATTATCTATTTTCTCACTTAGACATTGCCAGGCAGGTAGCATTAGAAACTTTAGTACATTTTTCTACAATATTTAACATGTTTTATTTTCAGAAAAGACCTGCTAACCAATCATCAAATAAAGCATATATATGCAAAAATGTACCTATTGAGGAGACTCACTGTGCAAGAGTATCTGCTTATTCAGGTATGCACCCGTGAATTATCAGCATTTCTAGGTGGGGCTTCTTCAAGGAGCTCCCCGCCCAACCCCTCTAATATTCCCTCAAAATGTGAAACAATCCTTTTTGCTTGCTCTGCATAGACACAAGGTAAATTTTGGCTAAAAATTTTCAGAAAATATTGTGACAGATAATAGGGTTTTGAAAGAAAGTGAAATCTTAGAAATAGCTGTATTTGGACTTTTTACTTTCTTGTGCTTTCAGAGCTTAATTTTCAACATCAAAGAATTAGTTTAATGTTACAGCAACTTAACTGAATTTTTATTAACATTAAAAAAGGACTAAAATATATAAATTAAACAGGAAATGTTGGAAGAAAAAGGGAAAAACAAATTCATGAAGATTAAAAGCTGCACTTAACTATAGTAATAACATTTGAAAGGAGAGTAAATTTTTAAAGCTTAATTGCAGATGAACTCATTGAATAGCATGTACTTAAAGATAATAGAAAAGGCAAAAGAATAAAACATGAAGTCCACCTGACTGCCAAGACTGCAGAAGGCAGCTAGAGAATACGGGAATTTCATGAAGAAGTCTTAAATGGTGCCTGCATAGAAAACTGTACAAAGCTATGGTAGAAAGAGTAAAATCTCCTTTACATAAGGAGGCAGGATGGTGTCTTAGGAGAGTATGGGGACAATCTATCATCAAATAAAACAAATCTTCCTAAAAACATAAATGAATTCACTGTTCACAAATGGAGTGGGGGAGAAGGAGGGAGGGAGAGTAGATATCTATTTTTCAAGAGAGAAAGAAAATACAGACTTATGTCAGAATAGGGATCAAGAAATTAGTACATCTGAAGACTGACAAGACTCTAGGGGCAGTTGTACGTGATCCATCCCAGATTTCGGAAGGACATGACAAAGTAAATATGGAAACCTTCAGAGGATACATTCAAAACCTCTCTGGAAAAAGGGAGGTACGAGGGACTCGAGAGAACCTAATGCAGTACTGATATTTGAGAAGGGATCGAGGAAACATCTATGAAAAAGACAGACATGCAGCCGTGACTTTGGCAGTGGGGAAATTACGGGAAAAACTAAATTACAGGACAGAAAAAGGAACACCTGGAAAGTTACGATTTAATTAAGGACAGTCAGTGTGGATTCACACAAAACGAATCATGCCTAACAAATCAGATTTATTGAGGAAGCAACAGAAAGACCAGGCAAAGGTTAAGCCATGGACATAAAGAAAGTTTTTGATACAGTACTGCAGAGAAAGCTAAGCCTGCAAGGTATGAAAGAATAAGACAAGTGAGCTAGTGAGTACATGAAGCTCTGAAAAATGAGTTTAGTGGGAAGGACCTCATGCATAACTGCTAATAGAGAAAAAACAATAGAGATAGAATGAGTAGTCCTGCAGTTACTTGTATGTCTGAAATTAGGAGTTGGGATTGAATCTCTGATGCGTGTGATCTGAACCGAGTTTAAAGTATCCAATTCATTTGTTCATCTGATGTTTTTTGATTTTGTTCAACAGGGAAATCAGGACTCATAACTTCCATTACGAGGGATCTCAGAGAGAGAAGTTAAACACTTTCATTTATTTCTGAGTTTCAGCAGATGTGCAGACCAGCCCTAAACAGATACTCTATTTCCTTCTCTACAACTGTCTTTGCTATACTGCAAAGATATCAGTAGAGATGCATGGAGAACTCAAGCTAGACATTGAGTTTTACTGACCATACAGAGAGTCTGTGTGCATGTGTGTGTCTGCACGCTTGTGTAAGGGAGAATCAACACAAAACAGGAGGGTAACAGAATTCTGAGTGAGGCAGAAAGGGGCTATTGCCCTTCCCTTCCTGCACGTGGTCAGCTTACCTCTCTGCTGACTGCCTGAGCAGCTTCCAGGTACAGTAGAGGGGTTCAAGACAGTCTCTGACAGTGTTTTAAAACACACCACTTACCACATCATCTCTGTCTTCCCACTCGACCTCAGAAAGATCCACACTGCTGTAGTTGGGCTTCCTTCGTTTCTTCCCTTCTTCATACTGGCAAAAAGGAAAAAAATAAAATAAAAAAATAAAAAAATGCACATCCTGCACAGGGATTCTGTCCCAAGATGTTTAAGCCTTACTGGATGGTTGCTGATTGCATGCAACACACTTAACAGTAGGTAGCTTAATTCATATAAAGTGAAACAAGTTGCTGGATGAATATTTGCTCTGAACTAAAAATCTGCTTCATACATGAGTATCTGCATGATCAATTGCTATGAAACAAACAAAGCTTTTCTTGAAGGGCACATTGAGAAGTCAAACTCAGCAGTTGTACCTTCTTTTCCCAATATGGCAACTATAGGAGGCCTCAAACGTGTAGTTTACGTTAAATGTCTCAAACTAGCTCTTTCAGCTGTACAGGAAGTTATATTTACTACAATCTTATCAATAAAATGTTTACACATTTCTCTTTAAACAAGATAAGTTGCAAGCCCTGCGAAGTGTGGTGTTAACATTTGCTGATATTATATTTTATCTGCAATTTCATGGGAAAAAGTAATATATTAATAATGATAATTTACAATTTTTTATCACCAGTCACCATTACACTGTAAATCTTACATTTTAAATAAACATCCCTAATGACAAATGGATTCTATACTGGAGTGTTCATAACGTGGGAAATTCTGCCCTCTGCTGAACATTCAAAACCAGAGAGCTGGTGATATATGAAGAAAACCCTTGGTTTGTAGAAGGAGGCAACAAATGTCGGAAGAACTAAAAAAACAACCTAAATGGTTAAGCAAATTTATGGGAATCTTCAAAAGACTCAAATTTGGTGAAATCACGAGATTGTGAAATCTGTCCTTTAACTTCTATGATGCATATGAGGAAAAGTCTTTCTATGAAATGCGACAAGACACAATGGGATATTGTGAAAATTCTCAACATTGCCTTTGTAACCCACCAAAGCGGTATCATAGAGGTATAGGAAAAGTACCTGTAAGGCAGTAGATACAATGGATTCTCCACCCTCAGGGGGAGCACCAACTGAACATAAAGCAAAGCTGTCAGTGCTCGAGACAGAACGTCCTTCATGGGGCTCGTGCTGTGGGAGCTCCCCCCGCAGTCTGCAGAGCCATCAGACCGGCCAAACGGGGGTCTGGACTCTGACTTGCTCCTCTCTCAATTAAAACATTTGCATGTGGTTGTTCTTGTACAGTCACAGTATTTAAAAACAGAGATGACAAAATCTCCCCAAAGCACAGCAAACTGTTTTAGAAGACTGACCCTGGATCCTAATCAGAGAGATTTTGAGATGCTGGTAGCATGGCCATGTTCCTTCTGTCACAGGCTCCACTGAGCCTCCTTAATTTTAACCCATGATGGTTCAGGTATTCCAAGCATTTCTGTGGATGCTCCTTCCGGGCATAAATGTGGCATAACGTTCTGAATCCATTCTCACTCTTCTTTTTGAAGGAGAAAAACTCTCACCACCTCTGCAGGTGTAGCACTTAGCCTGGATTCTGACAACTCCTGCAGATGCTATTGCAGAGTACACTTGGGCACTTTTCCTGCCCTTCTGCTAGAGGTTATCATTCTCTGGACAACTAGGGTATCTACTTCTGGGCTGTTGCTATTCACAGATAGGTAGAGATGCAAGAATTTCTGCTTGCAGCACATGCTCATGCCCTGGACAGTGAACTCAAGCAGCTCAGTACTCTGATTCATTCCTACATCACTCAGCTGTGAGTGCTGAAGAGATCCGAGTACAAAAGTACAAAGCTTTACAACCACTATAGTTTAATCTCATAGGAATAAAAAAATGAAAGGATAATGTCCAGTTCATTAGCATGTCTTGATTTTTGTAGTTTTCTATATTTTACAAACCTCCCATTGTAGCCTCAGCCACAGTGCTACTAACACATTTATATGGATGTACCAGGAACTATCAACTAACCATGCACAGCACTGATCTGATTTAATCAGACTGGTATAGAAACAGTTACAGTCAAGCTCCCAAATACCAAGGGATTGAAAGTGTTATATAGAAGTTTACTGGACCATTTCAGTAGAACAAATGTGAAGTAACTCCTGTTCTGCTTCCAGTGTTTAATTATATCCTTGCTCACAGATGTTGAAGAGCTTCTGGACTATACTGCGTTTTCAGACACATGCAAATCTTCACTTATGACAACAGGAGTCAATCTTGTGTGTTTAACAGCAGAAGAGGGCTTCAAATAACCCAAGCAACCAAAAAGGCAGTTGGATAAAATACACAAAGTTCTGCCACAAAGCCAGAATCAGAAGTATTTGTGTCTTAAAAATTTAGGCAGGTGGGGAAAAAACCAAAAGTCCAATGCTAAAGCAAGGGGGTATACTCCACAAGATCCCAAAGGAACTCAAAATACAAAACCTTTAGTACAGAAACAGGTCACGTAGGGAGATTCCAAAGCTCTCATTACATTCTTACCTTTTATGGACCACTGTTTAGTTGCCTATAGAGGTATTTAGTATGTGAAGAGCAGACTTGAGATATATTTCAGGAAAGGATGGCAGAGAAAACATAAGAATCAACTTCCAGAAGGGATCATATTTTCTTCTGGTATCAAAAGTAGCAATTCTTTTTATAGCTGGGTAACTTTACTTATATCTAACCTTCTTGAAGGTACTAACTTACTCCTAGAAGTAAATTTGTACAACCATATTCCTATATAACTAAGGCCTAAAGCATAAAGACAAGCAGACCAGTTATCAAATACTTTATAACACTATGTTCAGGTGGCTATTCTTCTCTAATTTCTTTCTAGCTTTATTACTTAAATAATTTCCACGGACATGGAAGCAATTCACTAGCTATTAAAAATGACATTCATCTATACCCTTTTCTCTGGTAGCAAGCTGAATCTAACTTCACTGTTATGTCTATCTGAGACTTCTGGGTGAAGTACAAAACACTGAAGGCTGAAGCTAAACCCATTTGCAGAATTATTATAAAGCATTGAAATAAATTAGTAAGGGATCCACTGGGAAACAGAGAAACAAGGAACCCTACCAAGTTCCTCTGATTTAAGTGCGCAAGGAAAAATAGATTTAAACTGTATACTGTTAATCTACTTAGGTCAATATAAAATGTGTGGATATTATATAGTAGTTAACCCCTGCAAAATAAACAATGAGCACATTTTTAAAAAAAAAAAAATCTGAACTGAACTGTTTGCTCAAAATTCAACTCCAACGTACTTTTGTTTGTGAAAAGAACAAGGGCAACGATTTTCTCTGGTAATCCAAATGACTTTTATCTTATTCAGTATCTTTTATTTGAGGTTTGGCCAAACTCTTATAGCACTGGATGATTCAAACAACATGCAACGTGTGCTGTTTAAAGACTGAATCACATTTTTTCACCACCCTCTATACAACCATTTACATGTGCCATTATTAAACTCTTCACTTTGATTTTTTTTTTAAACTTTAACACAAGCAGTCCCTAAGCATCTGCATTGAATATGACCCGCCACGTGTTCAGAAAGTCAGATGGAGCAGTCTGATCACGGAGGGAGCAAGCTGCATCTCAACAGCTGCGAGCCTGGGCTCTAAGGTGGTTAGAATTTCTCAGACATTTGCTCCATCTGGGTAACAGGGAGGGTTAGGAGCCAGCAGGTCCTTGTGGCAGCAATCTCCAAAGCATCAGGAGACTCCAGTGAACCAGCCTAGGCACATTTGTGAATCCCCTGCGAGAAACTGTGGGAGCAAAAAATGCACCAAACCTCCACCAAGAGCCAGCCAGGTAAAATAATGTCATGGGACAAGCTCTTCCTTCCAAGCCTTACTTTATCCAATCAGAAACAACAATGGGAAGAAAAAAAAATCCTTCTTCAATTTAAAAACACAGCATCATTTGATTAAGTCTCATCTTTTTGGATTAGTACTTCAGAATTAGGACGATGTATTAACCTAAATAGAACTTAGGTACAATCCCTTTTATTATTATTTTTTTATTTAAAGCAGACAAACTTTCACATATTCAAATATGCTTTGCTGAATTTGAATTCTATATAATAAAATACACAATAAGATTCCATATATAACTACAATTTATATAGCTATATTAAGCATATTAAGCCAGCTTATAAAGGTATGCTTGTCTACAAAGTTTAATACGAAAGGTTGAAAAAAAAACAAATATTGTAGATAAAGCAGCATCAACCAGACCTAAATACTTTTTCATATTATTGGAAATAACTAAGACACTGGCACTGAGCAGGCAGCACTGCTGCAGTTCTCCGGGCTGGGTGGTTACTCGGAGACCTCCCTTCTCGCAGTTCTGGACCTCACCATTGCTGCCTCGTTATTGCCTCGCGCAGCCCTGACTGACACGGTGCAAAGTCTGCAGCTGGTTGGAGGGCAACTGCACTGAGCCTGGCTTTACCTGCTTGATACAAGGTCAAACTGGAGACCTTTGCCAGCAATCCATCCTGGTGTCAACTGCTGCTGAGGCTACAGGTTCCTGCGCATGAGGGACTTGTGCAGGAGCAGCCACGCGCTGCTCCGCTGTACGGAGACACACGGAAAGGGCCGGGAGGCAGCGAGGGAAGGGGCATTTCCTTCCCACTTCACAGCTAGGAATTATCACAACCCTTGCTCTGAATTTCTGCAAGCACATAGTAAGTTGGTCAGAATTAGCTGATCAATAAGGCAATGCTTCTGTCCCAAAACGTCTAGAGTTTAGCTGCTATGGGACAAAGACAAGAGGGAATACAGGCAAAGACAGTGAGAAAGCAGGAAGATGTTGCTTCAGCAGCCTCATTCTCACTCTGAGGCCTAAAAAAAAAAGCAATGAAAAAGTCTCTGCTCTCTGTTTCACCAGCTTATATAAAATCACCCACAGCAACCGAGCGTTCATTCACCAGGCGCTACACAGCTCCAAAACGTTCTGCCTAGGGGTGTGTGGGAAGCTGCATCCTACCTTGGTGTTAAACACTACTGCTTGCCTTTTGAGCTCTTCACTTGGTTTACATTTTTTTTCTGCTCACATGACCCTGATTTGG